TGACTCTGACTTTGTTTATAATCAATTATAAAGGGTTTTGTTTCAAGTAATTTGCTCTCTACTCTCGATACTCGATTGTGGCGAGAATCTAACAACCTTCGTTCAAGTTTTGAGCAATCTTCTACATGCGACTTCTCTCATGTCAAAAAAATCTTTCTACTCTATAATGTCTGTTCTGAAAATAACTGATGAGCTTCATTGAATATTTTAAACTTTTGTTTCCATTTCAGATGCCACAGAAAGACTGGACAAGGACCTTCATGAGCCAAGAGCCTCTTTTATCTTCAGTAATGTAAGTGCTGTATGTTTTGTGTTTTAATCCAGCTCTTAAGTAAAGCAGATAAACAAAACTGTTTGGTTTAAAGTTTCATAAAGAGACTGACTGATCAACTGGTTTTTTTGAAAAATTTGCTTAGTATACTTCTAACTATTCAACTAACCATTTTGACTGACTGACTGAGCAACTTGCAGCATCAAGACACTGACTAATTGAGCAACTGACTGACTGTGCAATTTGGTACCTGACTGGCTGACAAAATGACTGAATAAGCACCTGGCTAACTGAATGACTTTGCAGTTAGGCACCTGCCTGGCTGATTGAGCAACTAACTGACTGACTGACTGACTGACTGACAGCGCAAGTTGGTACCTGACTGGCTGACAAAATGACTGAATAAGCACCTGGCTAACTGAATGACTTTGCAGTTAGGCACCTGACTGACTGATTGAGCAACTAACTGACTGACTGACTGACTGACTGACTGACTGACAGTGCAATTTGATACCTGACTGGCTGACAAAATGACTGAATAAGCACCTGGCTGACTGAATGACCGTGCAGTTGGGCACCTGCCTGGCTGATTGAATGACTGAGTGAGCAACTGACTGACTGACTGTGTGGTTGGGTACCTGACTGACTGACAGAATGACTGATTGAGCAACTAACTGACTGACTGACTGACTGACTGACTGACAGTGCAATTGGGTATCTGACTAGCTGACAGAATGACTTATTGAACAACCGGCTGACTGACTGACTGTGCAGTTGGGTACCTGACTGGCTGACAGAATGACTGACTGAGCAACTGACTGACTGACTGTGCAATTGGGTTCTTGACCAGCTGACAGAATGAGTGATTGAGCAACTGACCGACTGACTGATTCACTGTGAAATTGGGTACCTGACTGGCTGACAGAATGACTAATTGAGCAACTGACTGAACGACTGACTGACTGTGCAATTGCGTTCTTGACCTGCTGACAGAATGACTGATTGAGTAACTGACTGACTGACTGACTGTGCAGTTGGGTACTTGACCGGCAAACAGATTGACTGATTGGGTGACTGACTGACTGACTGACTGACTGACTGTACAGTTTGGTACTTGACTGGCATACAGATTGACTGATTGAGTAACTGACTGACTGACTGACTGTGCAGTTGGGTACTTGACTGGCATACAGATTGACTGATTGAGCAACTGACTGACTGACTGACTGACTGTGCAGTTGGGTACTTGACTGGCTCTCAGAATGACTGATTGAGCAACTGAGCAACTTACAGCACCAAGACACTGACTAATTGAGCAACTGACTGAGTGTGCAATTTGGTACCTGACCGGCTGACAAAATACTGAATAAGCAACTGACTGACTGTGCAGTTGGGTACTTGTGATGAGTGACTAATTGAGCAACTGACTGACTGTGCTATTTGGTACCTGACCAGCGGACAAAATGACTGAATAAGCAACTGACTGACTGGTACTTGACTGGCTGTCAGAATGACTGATTGAGCAACTGACTGCCTGACTGTGCCGTTGGGTACCTGACTGGCTGTCAGAATGACTGATTGAGCAACTGACTAACTGACTGACTGACTGTGCAGTTGGATACCTGACTGGCTGACAGAATGACTGATCGAGCAACTGACTGAATGACTGACTACGTGTAACTGAATAACTTACCAAGTGACTGACTGACTGACTGAGCAACTGACTTAAGGACTGACTGGGTCTGCAAAGCAGGGGTCAATTAAATAAAACTTTTACAAGTGTAATTTACAAGTGTATCCATTGTTTAGAGTCTGTATTAATCACACCCTGAACAAATGAACTGCTTTACTCCATTCCAATGAACTTCAATTTTCTGTTTTTCCATACAGGGGTTTCTGATAACAACATTTATTAAATCAAAAGAAAGCTATACACAATCAAACCAAAATAATAATAAATTCAAAACAAAGAAATGTGCACAGAGAAAAACCTAAAGGAATTATTCAAAACACACACACACCTGACAGTGAAGGTGTTATCCAAACAATGAAGGACAATGCATAAAGTATGGCAATGGTACATTAGCGATCCTCGAATAATGGTCACAAATGTTACACTAAATGGCAGGATAAGTGACCTGGAATTTAAATTAAACCCAAAAAACCACTGGTCCTAAATCAGTGGAAACACTTTGAAAATTGCTACAGCTGTACACTTGTAAAATTATAATTGTAAAAGTTCTATAAAATTGAAGTGTTATTTGCTAGTACAGTCAACGGGTGGGTGTTAATTTATTTTAATCATATGTGGTAAATTATTTGGGAATGGTTTCTCTCTGGTATTCATGAAAATGTGATGCAGTCAAACCTTTTTTGATATGGGTACTAAGGAGGGCATAGAATGTGTGTGTATTAACGGGATGTCTAGATTAAGCAGCTTCAATTTAGAGAGTGCTTTCTTTCCTCAGGGACAAAGTAAAGAGTCCATAATTATAAGGTTTCTGTATTAAGTGGGTGTCCATAAAGCAAGGTTTGAATGTTAATGGGAAATTGGTCTGTTCTGAAAATAACTGATGAGCTTTATTGAATATTTTAAACTTTTGTTTCCAGATCAGATGTCACAGAAAGACTGGACAAGGACTTTCACGAGCAAAGAGCCTCTGTTATCTTCAGTACTGTATGTGCTCTATGTTTTGCTTTGTAATCCAGCTCTTGAGTGAACCAGATAAACAGGATTGTTGGCCAGGTGATTTCAAAGTTTGATTAAGCTAATCCAGGGAAAGCTGTTCTAACATAGTTGTATTGTACCTAATTCTTTCATTTCACAGTTATTTCTCCATCAAGTGTACCACTTTTGGGAGTAGAAGTTTATCAATCTTACTTTTTCCAATAAAACAACAACAACAACAATATAAACTAAAAATGTGAAAAATAAAATGCAACATCAAAGAACAAAATTCAAAAATAAAATTAAATCAAGTACAGTTGCACAGCTTGGTCAACATTATTACCATGAAAATATAATAATTTAACCCAAGATCATTCAATTGAGTGTAGTCCTGAACAGCTACAGCTGTTGGGGATTCAGTGACTGGCATTTCTAAAATGTGTAAAAGAAATCAACAGGATTGAACACTAAATATTTTATTGTTGACTTCTGAATAAATAATATTGGTTCTTCAAGACCAAGCAAGTAAAATCATTTTTTTTAAGGGATGGATTCAGGATTTCTGTTGAACTTTGTATGAATTAGACATTTTACATTAAATACTTGCAATTGCCAGTTTTATGTCTGCAGAGAATCACAATACAAAGACAGCTGAAATGCTGTGAAATCTTTTTGGTTTCAAGAACAAAAATAATTTGATTGATTCCTAAAATTCCAAGAGACATGCACTTGTTGTTGAAGTACTCATGATCAGAAAACTTAAATACAAAAACCGTGGTCATTATAAGTTTTCTCCTGGATTAGCATTTATCGACTTTGTTCAACTGTGTCACAATGTTTAAATGAATAGCCAAGTTCTGCTGATATAATAATAATGATGATGATGATGATGATAATAATAATAATAATAATAATAATAATAATAATAATAATAACAATAATAATCATATGCAATCCATATTGTTATTATTATTATTATTATCATTATTATTATTATAAGGTTGTTATTATAGTACTTGTTAGTGCAGATATGCAATTCCATATTCTACCCTTCAAATTTCTTACCACGTTGATCTATTCAAATGACTGTCTGACTTGATAGTTGAATGAGATGACTGTGATGACAAGGATAACTTACTAACATGACTACTATAACTGGGATGACTGGAATTACTGGAATAAATAACATAACTGGGATTACTAGTATGACTACTATGACTGGGATGACAAATTAATATGACTGGGATTTTTGGGATTACTAACATGGCTAGGATGACTGGGATGACTAAGATGACTGGGGTGACTAGGGTGACTCAGATGACCAGGATGACTGGGATGAATAAGATTACTGAGATGACTGGGATAACTGGAATGACTGGGATGAAAAAGATGACTGGGTTTTTTGGGATTACTAACATGACTGGGATGACTAGGATAACTGGAATGACTAGGGTGACTAGGATGACTAAACTGACTGGGATGACTAGAGTGACTAGCATGACTGGAATGACTAAGATGACTGGAATGACTAGGGTGACTAGGATGACTGAGATAACTGGGACAACTAGGGTGACTAGGTTGACTGGGTTGACTGGGATCACTAGGATGACTGGGATAACTGGGATCACTAGGATGCTTGGGAAGAATGGGATCACTTGGATGACGGGGATGACTGAGATGACTAGGATGACTAGGGTGACTGGAATGACTATGAATACTAGCATGACATGAATCACTGGGATGACTAAATTAACTAAGATGACTGAAATGACTGTCATGACTAGGATGAATAAGATGACTTAGTTGACTACTGTTACTGGGTTGAATAAGATGACTGGGATGACTATTGTGACTAGGATGACTGAATACTTGGATGACGGGGATGACTAAGGTGACTGGGCTGACTAGGGTGACTGGGAACACTAGGATGACTGGGAAGAATAGGATAACTGGGATGGTTAGGGTAACTAGGGTGAGTAGGGGGACTAGGATGACTAGGATGATTCAGATTACTTTGATTTTTGGGACTCATCCAAGTAATTCCAGCCATCCTAGCCCTACTATGACTGGGATGACTAGGGTTACTTGTATGACCCAGATGACTCGAGTGACTGGATGACTGGAATGACTAGGGTGACCAGAATGACTAGGATGACTGGGACGACTAGGGTGACTGGGTTGACTAGGATGACTGGGGTGACTAGGGTGACTCGGACGACTAGGGTGACTGGGGTGACTAGGATGACTGGGGTGACTGGATGACTGGAACGACTAGGGTAACTGGAATGACTAGGATGACTGGGGCGACTAGGGTGACTGGGGTGACTAGGATGACTTGAGTGACTGGATGACTGGAACGACGAGGGTGACTGGAATGACTAGGATGACTGGGACGACTAGGGTGACTGGGGTGACTAGGATGACTGGGGTGACTAAGGTGACTGGGACGACTAGGGTGACTGGGGTGACTAGGATGACTGGGACGACTTGGGTGACTGGGATGACTAGGGTGACTGGGGTGACTAGGATGACTAGGATGACTAGGACGACTAGGGTGACTGGGGTGACTGGGGTGACTAGGATGACTGGGACGACTAGGATGACTGGGATGGCTAGGGTGACTGGGATGACTAGAATGACTGGGGTGACTAGGGTGACTGGGGTAACTAGGGTGACTGGGGTGACTAGGATGACTGGGACGGCTAGGGTTGACTGGGGTGACTAGGATGACTGGGGTGACTGGGGTGACTGGGACAACTAGGGTGACTGGGTGACTAAGATGACTGGGACGACTATGGTGACTGGTGTGACTAGGATGACTGGGATGACTAGGGTGACTAGGGTGACTGGGGTGACTAGGGTGACTGGGGTAACTAGGGTGACTGGGGTGACTAGGATGACTGGGACGGCTAGGGTGACTGGGGTGACTAGGATGACTGGGACAGCTAGGGTGACTGGGATGACTGGAAGGAGTGGGCTGACTGTAATGGATAGGGTGACTAGGACTTTAAAAGTCACTTGCTGGGCTAATGGAAAAAATTTCCCAAGTTTTCACTGACTGACTTGTTTGAATACTGGCCGAACGAGGATTTGTCAAACCTAATAACTGACTATCTGTTGATTTTTTTCTGACTAAACAGAATCAGTACAGAATAATCTGACATTTAACCCAACTGTTTCAAAAGACAGACCGATATTTGAACTGACCTGCATGACAGCTGGAGGGTCTAATCAATTCTCAGTGGCCTTATTTTGGATTTGTATTTTAATGGTATAGTTGGTAGACTGCATATCTGTGCTGACTCGTATATTCGTTTTCTGTGAACTTGATGAGTGCATTTCAAATCTCTCCTTGCTTCAACCAGCAATAGGAAATATGTTTGAGGAGTGACTGAATACACTTCACATTGATGATGTGCAGTGTAGTGCTTCTAGCTGGCTGCTAATTATTTCAACGATTACAATAGTTATACAACCAATCAAATCATCAGCCAAGCTAAGACAGCATTTGATGGGAGGGGGGAGGTGAGGGGTGGTAGGAGGGGTGGGAGGAGAAGAGCGTTTTTTCTTAGGTAAAACTGCAGGCGTAGGCAAATTAATTTGGTGTTTTGTTTTAAAACTTGAATATCTGATATTCTTCACTGCAGTAACTTACCTTCCCATTCTTGAAGGTGATTTCTCAGTTTAAGTGAATAAAATGTCTAAATTGTTGAATTCACTGCCATTTTCATTCCCACGTTCGGGGAAAATATAGGCTACAAAGTTTTCATTACAAGAAAAAAGGATTTGGCATGGGTGAACTGGATTATTCCTTTAATTTGTTTTAATTGATTGTGGATTTGGATTGCGTGCCTAATCTTCAAACATCTTTGTGGAAAACAGCAACAAGTGCTTTGAGTACGAATCTTGTGGCTCTCATTCTGACATTCGTTGAGTTAATTCTGCCAATATAATCAGTCCACTGCTTGCAAAGTGGAAGAAGAATTACACAACAACATCAACAACAGCAACAATGAAATGATTAAAATAGAGTCACCACTAAAAATTTGCCCCAGTGTTTTAAAGTACTTTTGACAAGCACTGACGAAAAGTGGGCGTGGAAAACTTAGTGTGCTTCTGAGGAAGTAAAGTTGGGAAATTTTGAAAACTTGCACTCATCTGTTTCAATTCCAGAGTGATCAACATGTTATTTCTCTTTACTTCTTTGAGTAAATTACCGAGCAGAAGGGTGTTGAAAATAACATAATTATCGTGAAAGGGGAGGCTTTGTCTTGATCAACTGTCAAATTCTCAGAACTGATGGTAAAGAAAATCCGCAGCAGTTAGTAAAGAAAATAACATGTTAAAGCCTGGGACTGAAAGTTCACAGTAACCTAAAGGCCTTCAGATAAGCAGTTTGTTTTGCAGTAACGATGGAATCCTTAAATACATGTGCAAATTGAAATTCTTATTAACATCAACTCGTATCAAACTTGGGAGTCTTTTTTTCGGCCGTTATTTTGGCTCGTCACGCAAAGTCGTGAAGCCAAACAACGGCCGCGAATAAGATCACACGCAAGTTTGACATCGGATTTATAGCATAGTGATGTTTTTTCGGTTAGGTTTTATTTTCTATGTGCATGTATTTTGTCCGTTTAATGAAAAACAAACTGCTTACTGAAAAAGTCTGAAATTTGTTCCCTCATGTTTTTCCAACTTTTGGAGCACAAGCAATCACAAATGAAGACGGCAGCAACTGTGGCACCTAACAGAAGGCTTCATATGCACGCTCGCTTTTATTTTTTTGCGCATTTATTCGCTTTTGTATGCACAAAAAATACAAGAATGTGATAATCAGAAGTTCAAGGTTTTGAGAACACAAACATTTAGCCATGTAGGGGATGTCAAATTCAAAAAGCGCGCGAACAAAGTTCAAATTAATAGGTAAATTTAAAATGCTGGGAAAATTAAAACAACAAAAGGCTTTCCCAGCGCGCTCGCTGTCATTTTGTTGCACATTTATTCGCTTTTGTACGCAAAACAACAAGACAAGTAATAATAAAAAATTCAAGGATATGAGACGGAACAGAAACATTTAGCCTTCAAATATCAAATTCAAAACGTGCGCGTACAAAGTTTAAATTAAAAGGTAAATCAAGTAAAATGCTGAGGAAATTTAGACAATAAATGATGTTCGCATAACTGTTAATTATTTTTTCAAGTGCCGATCTTGCTGCCGTCGATTTGTCGATTGCTTAAAGTTTTATAATATGCAAAGCAGAACTTGGCTTATTCTAAGGCTTGGACAAACAGTGAAACATTACGCGCAGTAACTTTGCACTGTGTTTCCATTTCCGTTAAGAGTTCTAAAGCAAAATGACAACGCAATATTTTTTTTTTGCTTTGAAATATTTCGGACAAGGTCTTCGGGATGGAAATATAGTGTAATTTTAAGGCTGGTTTTTACTAACAGCGTACCACAGACTTAAGTTTAGCGAGGTCATCAACAACTGAAGTGTATTAAAATACAAAGCTGAAGGTGTGAGCACAAAGATTATTCTTGTTTTCTCGTCGTAAAGGATTAACACAACACGAGCTGGGCACAACAAAACAAACTTTGTTTTGGTTTATCTTGCTTGTGCTTAAGAAGAATTATAATAAGTGCGTGGGTTTCCTAAAGTTGCGCCTATGCTTTTGTTGTTGATGTCTTTGCTAAACTGACGCTTGTGTTCATGTCGTTAGTAAAAACCAGCCTTTACTGCTCGTAATGTTTTACTGTGTCTGAGCCTTAAGGGGGTTTATCTGGTTCACTCAAGTAGTTGGATTACAAAGTAAACAGCACAGGTACTGAAGATAACAGTATTTTATTGAACAAATAAAGCTTGTCTGTGTTGTCCATTTATTTACAATAAAAAAATACAAAAAAAAAGTAATCTAGCCTCCCCCGTCCCTGCCGGGCTGCTTCCACTCTGCTCCGAGGCAGTGTTCATTCTTCTGTCACCATTTGATATTCCAACTTTAAAATCCTGGTCTGTTTTATCTGACCCCTTCATTCAAGCTGGGGGCAGTTGGACACTTAGAAAATTCAGCCGTTTATCCCCAAGTGGGGAGGTCAGCGTGAAGAAAAGTGAGAGTTCGCTCCTCATGCTCTGAGGGTCCCATTCAATTTTGTCACAATACCACACCAAATTAATTTGGAATTAAAATTAGCCAAAACAATTTGTAGTGAAAATTATAATTTTGGTTTGAAAGTGCGTGTCTACAAAGTCAATATATCGTGAAAAATATCCAGAGTCGTGGACAAGAAAAAAGAGGGCGCAAGACAGTGAAACTCAGTCTTCAGTGGGTCTCCGTCATCGATGCCCAGAAAACTGGACAAAGCATCGCGCTGGTCTGACCGGCCTTCATCCCACAAACTTCACCAAAGAGCACAAGTCAATAATAATCTCTCCTCTGCGAAGCTACTGATATTGGATTTCTCTCGTCCTAGTTATTGTTTTTTATTTAGTGTTTAGACCTACATGAAAGGAAATTTGGAAGTGAAAATCACGCGTATTGTTTACGCGTCGCTTATTATTGCTGTTATTCTAAAGAGTCGAAATTATCTGAAAGTAATAAAGCGAAACATTATGAAGCAAAATTTACGCAGTACTGCTACAGTGCTGCGTAAATTGTGCTTTAAATATTTCGTTTTATATCTTAAAATTGGTTGACCTTAAAAATCTAATGTTGGATTCATTTAAATTGAATCAGTGCCGCGTAAAGGGCAACTAAAGGAATTAAAGCGATCTTGCAGATGATTTAAATTTTTGCCAGTTTTGCTTCCCGTAGAAATAATTCGATTAATTCTCTCATTGAAATAACGGTTTATTTCTACCTTAAGAAATTAGTGCGAAAGAAATGTGAAACTAGTAAAATTTAATGTTTCAGTTCCTAGGAAATTTTGCATTCGACGCAAGTCTTTAAACCTTTGAATCTTAATGTTTTTCTGAACAATAATTATTTAAATTGTCCTATTTTTAAGTTCCCACGAGATTTGAAGCTTTAGTCACGATGGTCACGCTAGCCGACTGTACCAGCATTGCGTGACGATCGTGACAATAGCTCGGCCAAATAGCGTGGAAATACGGTCGTGACTGGAATGGATACTTCAACTCAGGATTCCGATAAATGACTGGAACTAGCCAAATATATAATTTTTAACATCAAAAAAATGATCTTAAGTATATGGTTCCAGACCTATATCCGAAACCCTAATTTGAAGTATCAATTGAAGTCGCCACCGAGAAATTGCCTTACATCGTGAAAAGTTAAGACTTAGCAAAAATGTTTATTCTAGCTGTTTACATAAGGCTTTCTGAAATTTAGGTCAAGCTAACCTGATTTTTCACACAGGCCAAGGAAATCTATTCTATGCCCTTCTTAAAAATAAGGATATAGAGCAGATTACCAGAGCTGTCTGATTAATCAAGTATTTCCTTATTTCGAAAATGGTTTAGTATCTAAAGCTGATATTATTAATCTAACATGAACAGCCATGTTTGTTCGCCTGTTGTTTTCAGTTGACCCAAAAACAACAGGTAAACAAAAACAGATGTTGATGTAACCTAAATTTAGTTTCGTTGTTTTCCTTATTTCGAAAATGGTTTAGTATCTAAAGCGGATATTATTAGTCTAACATGAACAGCCATGTTTGTTCGCCTGTTGTTTTCAGTTGACCAAAAACAACAGGTAAACAAAAACAGATGTTGATGTAACCTAAATTTAGTTTTCTGAAATTTGCTATGATCTGACGTAGGAGAAAGATGAAAATGAAATAAATTTGGACCTATTTATGACCGTTGTTTTGTTTTTATGGTTTTACTTAAATTTTCAGCTAATCAAGTAGGAAAAAGATTGAAATGAAATAAATTTGGACCTATTTATGAGCGTTGTTTCGTTTTTACGGTTTAAGTTAAA